CTCCAAAGTAGACTAGAATTAAACTCATTTGAAGTTATGTTCATCCTCAGAAAACTTGGAATGAGATCACCATTTGACCCAGTTATCCTACTCAGCATATACTCAAAGGACTTAAAATCAGCATTATAGTGTTACACCCACATCAATGTTTATAGCAGCTCAATTCATAATAGCTAAGCTATGGAACCAACCTAGGTGCCCTTCAACAGATGAATGGATAAAGAAAATGTGGTACATATGCACAATGGAATATTATTACTCAGCCATAAAGAAAAATGAAATTATGGCATTCACCAGTAAAATGGATTGAACTGGAGACACTCATGCCAAGTAAAATAAGCCAACCCCCGAAACCAAAGACTGAAGGTTCTCTCTGATATATGATGCTAACCCACATGGGGTGGGGGAAGAACAGAGTTTATTGGATTAGACAAAGAGGAGTGAGGGAAAGGGAGCGGGGATGAGAATAAAAAAGAAAGAAGAATGAATAGGACATAAATTTCCTATGTTCATATATGAATATATGACCAGTGTAATTCCACTTCATGTACAACCACAAGGATGGAGAGTCATATTCTATGGATGTATAATATGAACAAATTTGTTCATATTATATACTGTCATGTGTATTATATACTGTCATGTATATTTGAAAAGAACAGACAAAAAAATTAAACCCATAAAAGGTAAAGTATGTTCAACAGATAGATTTTTGTTGTGAAAATTACTGAGATCTCAAAATAAAGGGGATATAATACAAAATAAAATAAAAATTTTGGGTCAATTATAAAAAGTATTTAAAGTTTGTAAAGGTTTAAAATAAAGAAAAATTTGTAAAGGATTTTTTTATGTGATTGAGTTGATAAATATATGGATCTTTGTAGAATAAATACATGGATCTTTATGGAGGCTAAATAGACACCAAAGATACATTAATGTTATTATAGAAATTATGCTTCTTGGATCAAAGTTATTATACAACAGTTTTGCTTTTGTAAAATCTTAGAACCATCGTCTGTCAGTACTTTGCAGAATTACTACTTCTAACAGAACAACCTGAGTTAATTTAAGACAGTAAGTAATCACCTACAGGATTGAGAGGATATAATGCTGACTTCCAGTACGAATAATTGTCCCTAAGTCAATGAAAGAGATAACTGTAAAATTATAGATATTAAAGATAAAACCCATTACTCCCTCCTCAAGATTGGTGAAACTGGCCTATCGGATATTTAAAATCAAAACTTGAAGACAAAAGCCAAGGAAGTAAAAGGCTAAGGAAAAATCAGTCAATATTTGACCTTTGCCCTCTAAGGTCAGCCAGGACCCAGGGAATGATGGGAATACTCGAAGGGACATCAACTCTGGCAAGTCACTTGACCTCCTGATCAGGGGGCTGTGAGGACCCTAGAGAATAGGAAGCAACCAGTGAATATTCTGCAGAGAATTATTGGAGAAGGAGATGTTCCTGATGCTTCCAAAGGAAGCCATGAGTGGTCAGCAAGAGTCTGACCCATCCTGGCAGATGAAATGGCTGGTAGAGGAAAGCTAAAGAGGCCAAGCTTCTTCTCACAGTTCCCAAGAGTGATCCCAGAGGAACCTCAACTGCCCTAAGTGTAGGATAAGGTCTATTTTTGAACAATTTAGTCTTAAGTCCTGGGAGTCAAGTATAAGCAAAGCACAGACATTACATGGACATTTAAAAGGAAAAACAATATTTGGTGTATACTTGCATCTCTTCTCCTAAAAATAAGTAAACTAGGTGGTTATAAAAAGAGGGCTCTCGTGCAGGAGAGCCTAGTAAGTACAACAAAGGACTCTGATAGAGTGACAAGTTTGTCCTGAGTTCATTTGAGCATAATCTCACAAATCTACCAAACTTTCTCACCTCCTACATGGATGGACTGCACCTGTGTTTCTGGCTTTTAATCTACCCCAAAGCACAGCATCCACCAGAGCTAAATGGGCTATACCACTCATTCCTATTCTGGTAGGATTGGGAATAATTCCTGGGTGGATACAGTGATAGGAGGTCTATCTACCTCCCTCTCCTATCATCTAGATTTATCTAAAGATCTCTGTGTTAGTGTAGAGGAAAGAGCAACAGCCATAATTACCCTGCAGAACCAGGTGGACTCACTAACAGAAATCACTCTCCAAAAGTGGGAATAATTATATCTATTTACCACCAAGAGATTATGTCTCTTTCTGGAAGAAAAATGGCATTTTTATGTAAACCAATCTGGTATAGTTAGAGATGCAACAAAGAAACTAGCAGGCTGTCCCTCCAGGATTAGGCAGCACCGTAAGATTCATAAGGATCATGGTCAAAATTTACAGCTGGGTGTTTTGGTACAATCCTTGGTGGGATTCTTTCTGATGCTCCTTCTATCTCTGTTGTTCAGACCCTTCCTGTTAAACCTACTGTCACAGTTGATCTCTTCTCATCTAGAGGCTGTCAAACTCCAGCTGGTGCTGCAGCAGGGCTTCAAACCAATCCCACAAATGGACCCAAATGCCCCATTGATAGGGTGAGAGGGTCATGATCCCTAATTAGGTGGGGAGAAGGACCCCAAACATGCCTAAATCAAGTACAGGAGGTGAGACCTCCAGCTCCTCAGCCACCTGAAAAGAATTTTGGGATCATGTCTCTCAGGGGTCGGAGTACGAGAAACTCAGGATGTAAGAAACACGTCAGACACTGAGACCTTGGGTCATGCTCTAGCTTGACTCACTCTGCTCTACTTTCGAAGTGTTACTTTCCCTTTCCCTTTTAATAAATCTATGCTTTATTATTTCTGTGTTTCTTGGTTACTTGTTTGATTGGGAAGCCAAGAACCTGGGCCTCATCTGGACATCCCACCAGTAACAGTTTTGAGGCGTGATTTTTGGTGGATTGTCAGTGATATGGATTCCTGGTCTCCAAGAACATATTTCTTGCTTTTCAGCAGTGATTGATTTACATCATAATCTGAATAATGTGTGGGTGGACCTAGATCTTCTACATTGGCCTTTTGACCCCTTATGCCCCATTATTAGGTCCATGCAAAGTAGGAGGGCTCTTATGTCTTATCCAAATATGTTTAATACTATTAATATTAAATACATATTAAATACATATTTAGTATTAAACATAACAACTATTCTGTAAACTGCCCTTTCATATTTTCTTAGAACAGTTATTCAGCAGAGAACTGAAGAGGGTATTTTCTTTTGGTTTTGGAAAGGTCTCACTTGAGTTATGTATATTTCCTTTCTTCCATCTTGACCACATTCATTGGAGTCCTTTATCTTTTCCTGTCATCCTGGTGTTTAATACATCATCAGACAGAATAAGAGTCTGTAAACTGCCTCTGAGAGCAAAGATGTTGTTCAGGATTTGGCTTGAAGCTGTAATCTGTCAGCTAATTTCATTAGAAGGTTTCATTTTCTTCATTATCCCAGTGAGGTGTGGGGACCTCTTAGGTTTCTGACCCAGAATGTGCCAGGGGAAGGGGAAGGTAAGGTGGAGGAGAGACAGTAGCAGGTCTTCTGTGGGTGGTGTTTGGGGGGTATAAAGATCTCATCTCTAGTATCCTTACATGGCATATGAGCTAAAAGAAGACGGTTTTCCATGTCATAATGAAGGGCACAGTCAGATGCTAGATGAAATACTGAATAAAATTCCGGATGAAAGAAGTTTAGAAACTTGGACTAGAGGTGTAGCTCGGTGGCAGGGTTCTTGCTGAGCATGCCTGGCTTGGATCGCCAACATCTTTTTAAAAAAGTTCAGAAGCCTAGTCTTCCACTACTATGCAACTTCCCAGTCATTGCTCCGGGATGCAGTGTGCACTTCGGACAACAGATGGCGACAGAGACCGAAGTTTAAGCTGTTTTTCTTTTGCTGCGGTGGAAATTCCCATGGAAACCCGACTATTCACAGGGGCTCTCCCCACGCAGCCTTGGCCTCTCTCTTCTTTCTCACATTACATCAATCTGCGAGGTTCTGACAGCGGCGACGGTGGGATATGGAAAACCAGGGACAGGAGAAGGGGTGATGGGCAGCTTTCCAGACCAGCCCTGAAGCCCTCCTGCTTCCCGCGGACCCAATTGTAGGGGTCAGGCTGGAGGACAAGTGGGCGACCTGGGTCAGTCCATGCATCCTGTAGATCCTACTGTGGTCCCCCTAGAGCTGAGCTCCGCACCAGCAAGAATTCGGCTCCTGCACCCCGACCCCTGACCTTTTCTCCACTAATGTATCATCATCACCTAGTGCAGTCCCACTGAATAAATATTTGTTGAATGAAAGAGTGAAGTAGAAAAATTGCGGCCAGGCTCCTCTAAATTGTTTATCTGGGTTCCTTCAGGCCCTCAGTGGCAGGGCCAGGAATAGAGCTCAGGGTTTTTGATTTCCGGTTTGGTTCTCTTTCCACCAGTTTGTATACTCCCATCGTATTTCCATTTAGACTCTTTTAGTCCTAATTATTGAATGAAAGACTTCATCCTCCCTTAGAGCGGTTAGCGAGCAGAGAACTGCACAGCCCATTTTTTGTTTGTTTGTTTGTTTTTGGAAAGGTCTCACCTGAATTATATATTTTTCCTTTCTTCCATCTTGACCATATTCATTAGAGTCCTCTATCCTTTCCTGTCGTCTTCCCCAGATGAAGAATTCAGTTTCTACATCTTATCTGAATGTTTGTCTGTCACCTGAAAGTTTGTGTGTGTGTGTCTATGTCCTAAGGTTTTTCTTCTTTTTCTTTTTTTTCTTGCATTATAATTTGTCATAAAGGTGGGATTCATTGTGATATATTCTTACGTGCATGTAAAAGAATTTGGTTGATTCCCTAAGGATTTTCTTAACTCCTAGAGTATGAATCCTACCAATCTGAGGGACGACTGGCATTTGTCTTCTATGACAGAAATTGTGTTGCATGTTCTATAAGAAAAGGTGGGGTCGGGTCAGAATTCTCCGTTTGTCTCTAGTTCAGGAAATGTTTGGAGCATGGGATTTGAGGAACAGAATGGACACTACATAGAGGAAATTTGTTGATGGTGTGATACAGTTTGGGAGACATGAAAGCTATGGGGATGAAGACCTTGAAAGGGAAATGCATGGCGATTTCTTCTTCCTTATTTCTTTCCCCCTGGTTTACTTCTCTTCAGTTTCTATTCTTGGGTGCTGTCTCCTTGTTATTGAGAATACAGCCAGGTGCAGTGGCACACACCTGTAATCACAGCAATTTATGAAGCTGAGGCAAGAAGATCTCAAGTTCGAGGTTTGCTTCAGCAACTTAATGAGATCTGCAGCAACTTAACAATACCTTGTCTCATTCATAAGTAAGTAAGTAAGTAAGTAAATAAATAAATATAAAAAGGAATAGGGATGTGGCTCAATGAAAAAGTGCCCCTGGGTTTAATCCCAGTACAAAACAAATAACCCCCCAAAAAAACAAACAGAAAAAAATGGAGAAAAGGGGGGAAAATTAGCAAAAACAAATACATAGTTTTTCTTAGAAGAAACAACAACAAAACCAGAAAAAAAATGCTGTGAAAATTTCCATATTTCTTCATGACTTTTATGAAATGTTACAGTCATGTTTTCAGGTAGAGATATTTGATCTAATTACCATTAGGAAGACATAGAAACTCCTAATGGGAGTTACATGTCTTACAAATTTTTTTCCTTTTTTTTTTTTTTGCTTGCCTCTCCCATCTTGTTCCCTATAATTATCCAACCAAAGTACTCTGTTCCAACCACACTGGCATTTTTCTTTAAACACACAAAGTTCACACCCTTTGCACCCTTTCTTGCCTAGAGTCATGGAGGCCTGAGATCTCAAGTCAAAAGACAGATACTGAGTACTGACCTCCTTTGGTTCCAAGATATTATTGCTTTGTGTAACCTGATCCCCAGGCTGAGGTTCAGCTTGGCAGTATATCTTCTGCAGTGGTGAAATTCTGGGCTTTGGCATTAAGGTTGGTGTTTGGGGATGGTCTCTGGATTTTCAGATGGACCTACCATGGGGACCCACTCTCCCTTTTTCCCCTAAATCCTCATCCATCCACTGTTCTCCTGGGGTCTCTGCATGCCCTTGACTCTCCTCTGTTTGGTAGTGGGGCACCTCTGACTCTTATATCTTGGGTTGGACTCCAGGCTTCCTGATGGGGACTCTGTGGGATATGGGAACAATCACTGATGCACAGGCTTCTACTTCCCAGGGGCACTGTCAGAATCTTCCCAGAACAAGATGCTGAGTGGCATTGGGAGTCTTGTGCTGGGACTGATCTTTCTTGGCTTGGGCCTTACTGTCTACTTTTGGCATAAGAAAGGTAAGTCACCTGTAGAGAAAATGGGGAAGACTGGTGCTAGGACTAAGTGTTTCTGTTATAACTTTTCTTATCTCAGTTAAAAGGGGGAGCAAAACTAGGGATAGAAGTAGATTGCAGAAATCAGAAAGGCCTGAGTCCTCCTTGTCCCAAGTCAAGTTTGCTTCATCACAGAGGACAGTGTTGGAGGGCGATTTTAGACAGAGAAGCTCTCAGTCCATCCTTACCTGTGCCAAGCAGTTGTTAACATGTGACTTCCTTACAGATGCAGAGACTTTGCTCACTACCTTCAGTGACTGACTCAGTGGCTTTGGGGTGATATCACATGGACTGGAGTGGGAGAGAGAGCAATCTGGACATTCTTTGAATTTTCTTTTGGAACTTGAGACAAAGAGACAGAGAAGCAACTCTTCCTTTGCCCATGTTAAGGATCTTTTCTGTCCCTTTCTCTTTTTGTTCTTGCTGATGATGGAACAACCCAAAGCTCCACCCATAAGACAGAGCCCTACTCCTCTTGCCCAGAAATGTGACACATGTAAGATAGATAAAGATGTTGGCTGGGTTTGACTGGACACTCTAATACACTTCAGTTACTTTGTTCTTGGCTTCATGCCACACTCTTTCTCATGTGAGTTTGGTTGGAGGAAAATTTTGGAACATTCCACATGGTCTCTGCAGGAAATTTCAGGAACTGTTTTCCAGAACAACGCCCAACCTTTGGCACTGAGTGAGGGTTGCACGATGCTCCCAGACCCCCAGATTACACAGTGCTGCTGAGCTGGATGTTAGGTGAGATGAAGGATGTTACAGTTCTTACCTGTCCAGTTAAGTACGTGACCTGTGCTTCACCAAAGCACTTAGACTGGTAATGGAACTGGGGCCTTCTTCCACATGCCCCTGCAGAAGCTTTGTGTTCACTTTAGCACAGTATCCTCTTTAATCAGATACCAGGAGAGATGGTGAGGAGTGGGTGGTTGTACAAAATCACCCTTAGTGTTCTGAGTTGCAGAGAGGCCCCAGGGGTATTGGGCAGGGGGCTGACTTTCTCTAGGGATTTATCTTATGACTTATTTTTTTCTCTCTTCTTCAGGGATCATGCACTGATTCCAACATGTTTCTTCCTGTTACCTCTATTCCATGGTCTACTGCTGTCTTCACCCTTGTGCACAGTTCCTAGCCTCCCTTCTCTCTGGCCTGTGAGAAATCCACTTCTGCCAGCCCTGTCCCCCATCAAGACCTGAGTCCCACAGTGCCTGAGCAGCAGATGCAAGGCCTTCTTCTTCTCCGCATGCTCACACAGACAAACACACACACACACACACACACACACACACACACACACACAAGTTTTATTTGTGATGGACCTTTATTTTATTCATTTATTTTCATTTATTTATATGTGGTGCTGAGAATCAAACCCAGTGCTTCACACATACTGTATCACTGAGCCAAAACCCCAGGCCCCTGGCCCTCTTCTTGTCCTGGTCTTTCCTGAATATCTGTGACTACTTTCCACCTGACGCTGGGAGCTCTGCTCCCTGTGCTGCCTGCCACATCTGTTTGGGCCACGAGTACTTTCAACACGTTTCTGATCTTGTGCTCTGTCTGAAGACTTCCCATGAATTAAACGTCAAACTCCTTTATCTTTATATATATATATATATATATATATATATATATATATATATTGCAAAATTAAATAGATTTGTGAGTCCCTTGTGTTTCTGATTCTGATTGAGTAAAAGTGGTGGTGGGACATACTGACACAGAAATGAGCAGATTCTAGAGGGCTAGTTCAGTGATGCCCCAAAAGGGAGGAGACTAGGGGAAGTATGGGTCCCCATACCTGGTCTAATTCAGATGCCATGTAAAAATGTGAAAAAGTATGAAAACATTCAATTGTCCACCATCTGGGGCCTTGGAAGTTGGGGTTGTGTTCAGCATTCTTTCCTGGCTTCTGCTGCAGCCTGATTGTTTATTTGAGGTATTGGAATTATTTTGTGCCATTATGTTACCTAACAACACCTAACACTATAAGTTAACCAACCTCACTACACAAATGTCTCCTGTCATTGTTGACTATGTACATGGAGGTAAAAGACAATGATTTTGGGTTGTGTCTGAACTACCAGGTTATATACTTGCCAGTGGGAATTTTATTAGAAAATAATATGTTGATTGCATGTGATGGAAACTCTACTAATACCATCCCAAGAAAAAAAATAATTATTTGGCAAATAATTTAAAAGTTCATAAATTAATTTGGCTTCTGAAAAATGCTTATATCAAGGACTAAGATGAGATTCTTTTCTCCTTTGTCTGTTAGTTCCTTCCTTTCTCTCTGACCTTTTCTTCCTGTCTTTACTCTCTTTTCTCACTGTACTTCTTTTTCTACTCTGTAGCTCTTCATCTGTCTATCTATCTATCTATCTATCTATCCAGTTTTGGTACTGTGGATTGAACCCAGGGGCACTCAACCACTAAGCCACATCCCCAGCCCTATTTTGTATTTTATTTTGAGACAGGGTCTCACTGAGTTGCTTAGTGCCTTATTGTTGTTGAGGCTGGCATTGAACTCATGATCCTCCTGCCTCAGCCCCCTATATTTCCATACAGCTGGGATTACAGGCGTGTACCACTGTGCCTGGCTGTCTCTTTACTATCATACATTTTTCTTGATCTCCCTCTATCTGAAGGATTATATCTCTGTTCATGTATTAAATGGTTTTTCTCACTTTCTTTCATTTGCATTCCTCCATGAATGTCTCTCTCACAAGTCTTTTAATTCTTACTTGCATTAGAATGTCTTGCTGTCTTTTTTTTTTCTTTTTCCCTCAATCCATCCATTGGGCTGTGCTCATGGTGCACATGATCATTTCTTTCTGTCCTTCTAAAGTCTTCTTTCTCATTGTCTGCATTCTCTCTTTATGTTTATCTCTCTGCCTCTCTTTATCTATCTTTTGTGTGTTTCTTTCTCTCTTGCTTTGCTCTCTGTGTTTGTCTGAGTACTGCTTTTCCTGATAGTTCTTATTTTCTCCTCTGGAAATATGGGTATGTAGAGGAACATCTCAAACTTTCAGCCTATCATCTGATTAGCAAGAGATAAAATATGTCAACTCCAGTTTAACAATCTGGAGAAATTCCTGATAGAGTGACATTCCAATTTCTCAACCAATCATTTTAGCCATGAGAGATAGGATTCTAAGTCAGGCCTTAGTTTTGAACCAATTTCTGTGCAGAAAGACGGATTTTATTTTCCTCAAAAAAAGGAAAGTATGAAAAACAAAGCAAGGCTGGATAGATGATAATAGTAATAATTATAATAATAGTAATATCAATTGTCATTCCCTCTATATAGGAAGTGTCCTTCTCTATTTCTTTTCCTACTCATTAAAAGTTTGTTGCCAAGGGAATAGCTCAGTGCTAAAGCCCTTTTCTGCATGCAAAAGGTCCTGAGTTTGATCCTCAGCCCCACACCCTTCAAGTATAATTTATATAGTTTTTTTTTGAATTTTTAATATTTATTTTTTAGTTCTCAGTTTTATGCAACAAAAGTTTCATTTTTGCCATTATAGAAAGAGAATTTCAAATCATATTAACTTCCAAATCCAAGCTCTCTGGTTACATGAATTTATCTTTATTTGCTTTGAGTGTTCATTATTGACTCTGTAAATGATGGTAGAAGGATAAACTCATCTACCTTCAAAACATGAGGAAATAATAGCATAATAACAATAAAAGTATAATCATAAATCACTTTTGCTCACATAAAGTGTTATTTGATAATCTGGGTGAAGTCAGTTCCCCATTGCTTATTTATGCTACCTATTACCAGATGAGGAGGAGGGAAGCCACTGAGATACAAATGCAGTAGCTTCTGGAATTATATAATAGAACATCCCCACACTCATTTCCAACATATATTTGCCACTACTATCTACTTTGGAGGGGTCATCAGGGAAAATAAAGTTGTCAAAGTTAGGGCAGGTATTGATACTTTTGAGATTTGTTCTGTCCATGTAAGTCTGATGGTAAACATTTACAGTATGGATCCCCAGGATGTCCTACTACTTGGGTTTTTCTAAAAAGAGATCAGTAGTATCTCAGGTTTTCAGAGTCCTGCATTATTTATGTTTAAATAATCAGATCACATACTTTAAAATGTCTATGTCTTATGGTATTCAGTAAGTGCTTAGTAAATATTCGCTGGTTGCTCATGAAGACCTCTGTTTCATGGGTTAGCCTATTCCTGGAATCTTTTAACTTTTTT